ATCTCGTTATTTCATGTCATAACTTTCTTGTTAGTACCATATTGTTACTTTTTTTTGAAGGTTAAGATTTGAAAGTAAAAAAATGTATAGTACGTTGATCTCTATAAAACAGCTTTGAGTGGATAATATGTCTAAGCATAATGAATAGGCAAATAATCAAAATATGCGTTAGTAAAATGTCGCTCATTGAGGTACAAAGGGACTCGCTGTTGCACCCCGTGCGTGCTCAAATCAAATTCTGACTAAAATTATGGAGTATCAGTATACCTTTTTAACTTAGAAATCATCATAATTATCAAAAGTAACACAACAGTACGAACAAGAAAGTTGTGGCTTCAAATATGGAGATTAAGGAACCAACTAAACTAATCAAAACTAGAGCCATCTACATAGTATGTGAAAAAAAGAGTGAAATGTAATTCCCATAAGGCGTAACAATGTCCAGTGAAGTGAAATCTGGTAAAATAGATTAAATAAAATAATTGTTAATTTAGCTGTAATTATAAAGGTTATTCTAAAACGTTAATTTTGCCTTTCTGCATTCTTCCCCATTTAGGTTTTATTATTGTGTTAGGTTTTGTTGTTTCGCGGGCAATTGCTTTCCTGTAACCAAAATAGAAGACCGATATCGATCTGTTGTAAGTTTTGCATGTTGCTGAAGCAACTCCGGCTCCGACCGAAACGAAGAAAAATCGTTTGGCAACCGAGTATCCCGTTTCTACCTACCTCCGTGATCCTTTATAATTGTTGTTTTAAACCCCCGGAGAGAGGCATGGGGTTTAGATCTAAGCCGTGCCATACAGAAAATTGCCTTGAGGCCAGAACGGCAAAATGAACAACAATGCGCCCCGATGCACGCACCAACGGTTTTAATGCAACACAACAAAAATCACAGAGCGAGCCGGAGGGAGAGAGCGAGAGAGGATACAGAGTTCTGCTGCCATATGTCGCAATGCATACACATCCCCTCTTTAAACGAGACCAAAACGGGCGAAATCGCGGTGCGATTGTCTCTGGCGTGTTTTTGTGACGTTGTGGTGACGTTTTTTTCGTTCTCTTCGCTTAATGTGGAAATCGTATGGGCCAGTTTCGTAACTACTTGTCTCTAATAAAATTTGTATACGGTCGACGAAGCCTGCCGGTCGTTTTGTGCTATGATTTACATTTTGACTGTGTTTCAGAGACGCAATTTGCGCGGCAATTTCTTTTGGATGCACATGAAAGCGGCGCGACTCGTCGTCAATCGTGTTGATATTTTCGAAAAAACGATCGCTTTTGCCGCTAACGAACATGCCGCTGAAAATTTCAAATATATAAATAAATATCATGCAAATTTAATATCCGTAGAGGAACTACACCCTCCCATTGGGTTTGACTAAATAAACTTGATTTTAAATAATGGGATTTTGAACAAAGCACAACAAGAACATACGAAGTTCCCTTTTTTTTTTTTTCTAATATGACCTCTGAAATGCTAAAGGCGTTATACTCGGTGTTAAATGCCGCTTAATTTAATCATTTTTGTAGTTACTAAAGGAAGGCAATCGCATAATTTTATCCCTTCTTCCTCTCAGTTTAAAAAAATAAACATCTTTTTGGTTTTAAGTCAGTATGCTAGACGACCATTTGCTTCGGCCTGTCGTACACATACGACAGTAGATGTGTTCACTGATTTAAAGCTTTAGTAATTGATTTTTTCAAATGAGGTTGGGAATAAGCATCAACCAATTTAAGTAAACTTTTTTATGCGACTTTAGAGAAAACAATGAAATAATAAAAGTAGACCTTATTTTTAAAGGCGAGTAAAATTGTATAGGGGTTCTATTAAAATTTTGAATTTTTAACTTTTTATTTTAATTTTTTGTGATTGGTCTATAATCCCTTCAATTATTTTGCGGTACTCTTCACCTCTCCATTTTATAAATAAAATAATAAAAAAGCTTTGAGACATGAACTTTTATGAGAATTCAAAAGTGGAATAACTGTGTATGGTGTTCCATTTAAAAGGACGAATAAAGATCCGAACGGTGTAAACGTAAGCCCAGCTATTTTTAAAATATGTAGCATTTTGGTCTTGTATTAAGACTTTTTGGAATATTTCTTATGTCGTGAGAAAAAAAAATATAAAAAATATCATAACCTTAGTCACGTGTATAGAGTGACCAATCCCATTTACGAAAACTGCATTGCTATAAGCAATCAAATTTAATAAACTTAAACAGGAAGTTGAGGCCGGTAAACCTTTTTTATGGAATATTATAAAACAAATTCGAGTGAAGGAGAAGAATAATACTTATAAAATAAAATGTCAATTACATATTAATACATTTAATAACAATAGTACAATTAAAAACTTTTCAAAATTCATCCCTATAAAATATTTTGTACTATTACTCATTATAAATAGTCCGATAACTAAGCGTTATTTAAATCAGTTGCCCTTCTCTTGTTTACTGAACCAGGACTGATTAACTTCTTTTCCAAAATTTATGGTTTTACGTCAAGGGAACGGTACTGTGAGAGTCTTATGTGGTTACGATTATTTTTTATCAGAAAGACCGTATTGTTTTCTTTCAAAATAATAAATAATACACTTACATGTATATATCAGTTCGTTTATATTAACGTTTCCTTTTTACTCGACCATAATCACAGTTTTCTATATATATATATATATATATATATATATATATATATATATATATATATATATATATATATATATATATATATATATATATATATATATATATATATATATATATATATATATATATATATATATATATATCCCGGTGTCAAAAATATTAATCACTTGAGTAAATAAAAATGTCATTTTTGGATTTACTATTCCGAAACGTGTGAGGTAAATTTAGTAATTTATGCGGATTAAAAATGGAATTGCCTGAAGTCGAGTCGAATTTACATTTTCGTAACAAACCGGTTTATACTAATACATACGTACGATATCAAAATCACGGATCGGGATCCCACATACGACATTAAATAAATAATATGTGGGATTTAAAGAAAATAGAACGGTATAATAGGCGTAACGGATGTTTTAATAGCGTTGTTTTCGATAAAAGTATATTTTTTTATCTCGTCAATTGCATCATTAGCCGTGCGCTATATTAATTGGGCGCTAATTTTTATCGACTTTTATCTTATATTGAAAGACGGAATACGGCTAAGCAATGAATAAAAAATACCGAAGTCGGATGCATTTTTTGGTAGTAAAGACGGCTTAGAGCTTAGTCACCCAATAGCTTTAAATACACTATCACGAAAATGCGATCGTGTGTTGGTCTTTAGTATAATTGCAAATGTCTTTTTAACCAGAAAACTGTAAGATTACCAATTTAATTTAAGAATTGGCCTTTCAATTGAGAATGTAGTGTTAATTTAAATAAGCTGCTCATTTCTTAACATTTTTGTGATAAATAGGGTAACTTTGTGTCAGCATTTCGTATTTGTTTAGGTCCAAACATACGTGCATTCGGCCCCACACTATTAGGATCGTTTTTGAGGACAGCATCTGGAACGCACATGTATTTAAAGCTAGTTCTCGCGCCGAAAAAGGGTCTAGCTCTAGAGCCGACGATAGAAAACCACATGTTTATATTAACTTACCGTATATTGACTAAAATAAACAAATAATCTCTCATAAAAAATGGGGCTAAATGATCCGATTCATGGCCTAACGAAAGGTTTATGGTGGGGGTTACAATGCTCGTATTATACCGTCTAATATATTTCTCAATTAATAAATATTTTAGACTCATATTGCCGTAAATTTATCATCGATTTTATTAGGGGCGTAACAGAAACGATAAATTCGTTTTGAAATTTATTGTCGCAGCCAGTCGGTTTTTTCCGTCTTTATACGATTCTAATTTCAAAATTTCCTTAATTGGTACGTGATAAAGTGCCGTTCACAAAGGTACTAATTTGAACAATTTTAACCTGGACAGGAGTGCAATTTAACGTTTTTAAGATTGCAAAAAATGTATAGTAACAACGCCGATGTTGCCGGGTATAGTTTTAAGTCGGAGTAGAAATGTTAACAACGTAGTATTCGTTGCTTAAAGTTTTCTATATGAAAATATTACCTGTACTGATATTGAATGAATTGTTTTATTATAAGAACTTTTTTCCCTGCTTCTTCTCTCGTCTCCAAATGGCTATGGTTGCACTAGAGACCACAGCTCGTCTTTCAGCCATAAATTGGGTCTCCGACCGATCGTTTTCCTTACCTTCCATTATCTAAAGATGTGTCCTAGGTATTGTAGTTTTCTCTCTATTCACACAAAGAATTGCTTAGTATATTCAATAATGAAGTCCATTAGAGACTGAAGTTCTGATAAACTATGGATCATCTGCGTAACGAAGATTATTTTTAATATTGTTAGTGATCTTTATGCCCACATTTGTATTTTCTTCAGAGTAGATGTTAAACGAGGGGAAGGAACCCATTGTTAAAGATCCGTTGATCACTGATGATTCCAAATAACATGTTAAAAGTGGGAACGCGTATTTGCGCGATATTGGTGCACCTTTTGAAACGTAATATTGATTTTTGTATATATAATTTTTCAGTTTATCTTTTGAAAAAAAATTGATATAGCACAAAATAAAATATTGGCACTAATAATATACTTCAGTAATAGTATGACACCGGCGCCCGTACTATTTTCGACATTGTGTGGCTCGTCCTACGAACCAAAACACCTATAATTATGGAAAAATGGCCAAAAAGCGCGAGGCACGTGGACTTTTTTCAAAGTAGGACGTCCCAACATCCGTGTAATAACATCTTAACGAATAGGTCTCGACTTTATCGACGTTATGCGATCAAGCTCCCTCACTTTATAAAACTGCCGTTAAATAACAGGGTACCAAGCGCTCACGTATTTTTGTATTATAATAAAGTCCACACTGTACCGCCTTTTATAAGGTTTATGGAATTTTAATTTGGGCTTGTTTTTTTTCTGTTTCAGATACGACAAGAAAAACCTTATTATATAGCCGACCCCGAAGTAGACTCATTAGTAAGTGAATTCTAATATGTTGTTTTTTAAGGTAGTGTCTAGATTGCGCAAGTTTGAATTTTAAAATAGCTTTACCTAGAACGATTTTCATAACACATGACGCCGCTTTCGAAATCGTCAATTTAGGGCACAACCTGGTTGGTGTAGTTGAAAATAGAGTTTCCGGTTGGACCACTCTGAGCACGATTTATGAATCTCCCGCAATTGCTCTTAAATTATGGGTTGTACCGGTATTTGCAAATTCCGTATGAACAGTTCTACTCTTTCAAGTTTTTGAAATGTGTTTTACCATTAGAGTTTCCTCTAGTAAATATAAAAAACGACTTAAAAAATATTATTTTGCATTCCGTATAAGGAGAGACTACGATACTCAATAGCAACTTCTACAACGATGTCCTATTTAAAGATTCATTGTCAAGTCATTGATGTATTTAGAACTGATTGACAAGTTTTAGTATCAGTCACGTCTCCGTGATCGAAAATACACCACGCCATATTATCCTAGTTAATAAGGATTATAAAGATGGAATTTAGAGTATTCCAAAAAAGTAAAACCTCCCCAAGAAACTAGTAAAGTAAAACTTCTAACTTTAATGATAATAAATAAATATGAACTAAATCTAATGGTCTTGGATGTTTCTTAAAGGCGTTCTGTCGACGAATTGTGGTAGGTTATGATAGCTCTATTTCGGATCAACTAACCTCACACATTTCTTCTTTTCAATTTCAAAATAAATAAAAACACTTGCTTTAGTCAATCACGCTCCCCCTGGCGACACCTCTGCTACATCTTATCGACATAATCTTCATTACAGGTTGCAAAGGAGCAGTTAGTTTGTGGAAAAGGAATGATATAATTTCATCATACCAGTTTTGTTTTAAGTCTGGAGTTGAAATAATGCTTTTCAGGAAGTAATAATAATAATAATAAAACTAATAGAGATAATAATATTACACCTGTGGTCTCACAAATCTTTCGACACGATTGAAATTCAGCAGGCAACAAAATCAACTCAAAAAGTAAATGTGAACGAAATATCAAGAGGTATCCAGAATGTAGAAATAGGAGTGTCTCAAGGTACTGTGTCAGGTCTAATTCTGTTTTCCATATACATTAGTAGTTTCCACGCTTTGAAAATTTTGCTAACGACGTACGTACATGTCACATAAAATGAGGAGCATATCTCTTTCAACGATTAAATGCTGCAAAGTCAATAAATATTATTTAATACCACACAATTCTACTTGAACTATGTTCGACTATGCTCATAGATTTATTTTTTGATCTGTCGTTGGTTAGGTAGTGGTTACTTCCTATTAGGGTTAATTAGTTCCGTATTATTGTGGTTCAATACGTGAAAGTGCAACATTTTTACCGACGCCGCCCCACCTTCACCGTAATTATTATAAATGAACATCTTCGAAGAAACGGACATTTTTGATAAATGATTTTTTTGTAACGAACCAATTACGGGGTTATCTGTGGCCGGCCATAGAAATCGATCGCGTCCCAATAAGACGATAAAAAACACAATGGAATGTTAACTTGTTATGTCCGTCGCTACCTGTGCAGCTGATGCAGATAGTGTCTTCAGGGCCAGTTGTTCATAAAGAATATAAAAATCTCCGATCAAACGGACTCGAGCGAGTCCTAATATTTCGGACGCGTCGTGGGTCAAAGAGTCGTCCTACACTATTTAACTTACGGGGGACTTTGGACGAATTCAAGTTTCATTTGCATTTTTGGCGACACTGCATATATTGTGCGACGAAATTAAGTTGCTTGTCCACCACGTCTAATAAAAATCTAGTTACGTTTCGATAAGAAAGATCGCGGTGAAAAACTGACATGCAACCAAATGTTCAATAGGAAAAATGATTTAATCAGTCTTTCCTCGCGTACTTTTATTTATGTTCCTCTAAGCTACGTTTTTAGTGGCGAAATTTTGACGAAAATATTGGGTTGTTCGGAAAGTCATTTCGTTTTTTTTGGGGAACATGAAAGACAGTTTTCGTTTAATGAATAAATATTTTATTAAATTATATATTGGCCATTCTGGTCCAACACCTTTTGCCATCTTTCTGGCAGTAACATAATTCCCCTCTCACAAAAGTTTTGGTCCTTGCTGGCAAAAAACTGGTTCAGGTGGTTTTTGACATCTTCATTTGGGGTAAAGGTTTTGCCATCCAAAAAATTTTGCAGGGACCGGAACAAATAGTAGCCGGAAGGCGCCAGATCTGGAGAATATGGTGGATGTTGCAGTACGTCCCATTCAAGCTGTAAAAGTTTTTGGCGAGTGACCAAACTTGTGTGAGGTCTCGCATTATCCTGGTGGATCACTACACCCTTCCTGTTGATTAATTCGGGCCTCTTCTCTTTAAGTGAATCATTCAATTTGTCCAGTTGATGACAATAGACTTCTGAATTAATCGTTGTATTGTCCGGCAAAAGGTAAAAAAAACGATTCCTTTGACATCCCACCAAACGGAGAGCATCACCTTTTTTTCGTGAATGTTGGCTTTTGACACGCTTTGAGCCGGTTCATCTTTTCTGCTCCATGACCTCTTGCGTTTAACATTGTTGTATACAACCCATTTTTCGTCCCCAGTAATAATCCGCTTCAGAAATGGATCATTTTCTTGACGTTTGAGGAGCGAATCACACACGTCAACGCGACGACACAAATTTCGCTCCGTAAGGACATGGGGCACCCACACATCGAGCTTCGAGGTTAAGCCCATGCCTTTCAAATGGCCATAAACAGTCGAATTCGACAAATTTAATCTCTCACGGATCTCTCGTGTGGTTATTCGCCGATTTGCATCAACTAATGCCTTTATCGCATCTTTGTCAGCTTCGACCGGCCTTCCAGACCGTGGTGCATCTTCGACATCAAAATTGCCGGATCGAAATTTTGCAAACCAGTTCTGACACTGGCGTACTGTTAACACGCCTTCTCCATACACATCCGTCAATTTTTTTCTCGCTTGGACAGCATTTTTACCTTTTCTGAAGTAAAAAAGTAAAATATGACGAAAATGCTGCTTATTGCTCTCCATATTTAAAAGGGCACCAACCAAAAACTACTGCGTAGAATTAATAGAACTTTTTCACACACAAGCCTTGCAATATCAGCTCTCAAGACATAATGGTTATCCGGCTTAAGTGTGAAGTTGGTTTCGAAAAAACGTAATTAAGTCCTCTGACGGGAAAAAACGAAATGACTTTCCGAACAACCTTATAGTTGTTTCGATGTTTCTTCCTGTGTCGTAGACATCTGAAACTTTTAGAAACATATATACAGGGTGCTTTATCGGAAAGTTCGTCTTGCTATTACGTGCCAGCAAAATTTCAAATATTTTTGATTTTTGGAAAATTTAAGACAAATTGGGGAGGCAGGTTTAATGGTGAATTACCATTTTTGGAATATTATATTTTGGTATATATATATATATATATATATATATATATATATATATATATATATATATATATATATATATATATATATATATATATATATATATATATATATATATATATATATATATATATATATATATATATATATATATATATATATATATATATATATATATATATATATATATCCGCCCCCGGGGCCACATTGTCGCGTTGTTAATTTTTCGCCCGATCGTAGTTGCGATGTCCCCGTTGGCTGCTGCGTATCGCTCTGCTGTTTGATTATCGTTCTCGACGTATTGGATAAATGCAGAGCATCGTCTCTCGTATTCAGGTATCCGGACTTTTCTATCTTGATGGCCTCTCGTCTAATCCTAGTCTTAAAATCAGGAATATTAGCTATTTGTTTGCAAATACCGAAATCAATTTTATGGCCTGTCTGATGTTGGTGCTGAAACAAAGCAGAGGTTGTTTGTTTGTTTCTTATGGCTAAACGATATTCCTCGAGCCTGACTGAAATCCTTCTGTTGGTCTGTCCCACATACGTCAGGCTGCACGATCCGCATGCTACACTGTATACTCCTTGGTTTTCCAGAGTAATTTTTTGTTTTGGGTTTCTTAGTATTGCTCCGATGGTATGATCAGGTTTGTATGCCGTTGATATGTCGTGTTTCCGTAATATTCGGTCGAATTTGTCAGTAACCCCTTTGATGTATGGCAGGACAGCGATCGATCTTCGTTGGGTCTCGTCCTGCACTCTCTACGGCGGCTGTTGTTGTTTACCGATTGCATTGCTGATGATGCGCCTTTGGTATCCGTTTTGTCGAAGACAGGTACTAATTTTTTTCAGTTCTTCATCTCTGTGCCTCTCGTTTGTGAGCCTGAAGGACCGAGCAATTAATGTATTTGCCACTGCCTGTATCTGTGATGGGTGGTGATGAGATTTAGCGTTCAGATATCTATTAGTGTGTGTTGGTTTTCTATAGACAGTTGATATGGTGAAAACTCCGCACGCCAATAAGTCCAAAACGAAAAGAAATATTTAATTTATGTAAAAAGTAGTCAAAGTGTGGGGTCAAGTAAATATTTCCTAAAGTTTAAAAAATTCGACGCCTGCAAAGAGCTGGGCGTCGCGACGCATCGAAAAATTATTCGATTGCAGAGACTTGGGGAATACGCGCATACAAATGTACATATTATTTAAAAACTTTTTTGTTATTTACTCAAACTTATTTACTTTACCCGTCTCTAAGTTATACCGATTTAAAGTAAACATTTCTTGATTAATAAAAAATGTGATTAACGCTTATTTTTACAAGTATGCCATGAATGTTAGTTACTATGGCAACCATTGTTATCGCAGTTGTTTTAAGTGCAATTACAAACGTAACTTGTTATTGCTGTATCAAAAAATTGTCACATTTTGTCACAAGAAATATCCAAATTTGTTCGGTTAAAAAAAAACTAAGAATTATTATGTGAAAATGATGCAATTTAGCAATGAGAAAAAAGTAGACATGTTACTGGTGTTTGGAGAATGCAGATGCAATTGTAGAGAAGCAAAAAGAGTTTACGC